AGCCACAAAGGAGGATGAAGAGATCACTTGGGCACTACAAACTGGAAAGGCAGAGAAATCTCGAGGTTTGGCGTTTTACAATCAGCGTATATGGATTCCACAAGATCACGATTTGCGCACAATGATTTTGGCAGAAAGTCATGATACAGCCATTGCAGGTCATGTGGGAGTGGAGAAAACCGTGGAGAGTATACAACGAGTGTACTATTGGCCCAAAATACGTGAGGATGTGGAGTCTTATGTTCGAAGTTGTGTTGCTTGTCAACAAAACAAGGCAAGTAATCAAAAACCAGCGGGTTTATTACAGCCTCTTCCTATTCCCGAACAGCGGTGGGAACATGTCACTATGGATCTTGTATGTGAGTTACCAAGGACTTCGTTAGGCCATGATTCAGTGGTGGTTTTTGTGGACAAATTGAGCAAGATGATTCACATCAGGCCAACCACAAAAACAGTAACAGCTCCACAACTAGCTCAATTGTATCTAGATGCAGTTTTTGTGAATCATGGCTTAAGCAAAGTGTTAATCACGGATAGAGGTACTCACTTCACTAGTTTATTTTGGAAAACTTTGTTTAGTTTTTTCAAAACCAAACTAGCAATGTCAACGGCCTATCACCCTCAAACTGATGGACAAACTTAGAGGGCAAATAGAACCATATAGGATATGCTACGAGCATTCACATTAGAAGAGCAAGAAGAGTGGGACAAACTTTTGCCACTTGTGGAATTTGCATATAACAATTCAGTTAATGCATCCACAAAAGTGTCTCCATTTTTTCTTATGTATGGAGCTCATCCTATAACTCCTTCAAGTTTGATGAGACTTCCCAAAGGAGAGGAGTTTTCGACCAAAGTTGCAGCAGTCAACAAATTCGTGGAGCATATTCATCGAGGACTACATCAGGCCAAGGAGAAGCTGGTGATAGCTCAAAATCGGCAAAAGCAGCATGCCGACGCTCATCGTAGAGAAGTGAATTTTGAGGTTGGAGATCATGTTTGGTTATCTACAACAAATTTGTCTCTTGTAGGAACACCAAAGTTAAACCCTAGGTTCATTGGTCCATTTTTGGTTTTGAAGCGTGTTGGTGAAGTGTCATACAAGTTGGAACTTCCGTCACATATGAAAATACATCCAGTATTTCATGTGTCACGATTGCGAAAACATGTATCACGACCAAAACAATTCATCAACCAACCAGCACCACCTCCTCTTCCAACCTTGATAGCAGATCATGAGGAGTTTGAGGTAGAAAAGATACTCAAGAAACGTATTCGAGGTCATAAATACCCCAAAGTAGAGTATTTGATTCAATGGAAAGGCTATCCATCGTATGAATCAACTTGGGAACCAGCTAAAAATTTAGCAAATGCACCTTTGATAGTTCAGGAGTTTGAACGTATGTGCAACGAGGACGTTGCATCTTAAGAGGAGGGAGGTTTGTAACCATCTTTAGTTAGTTAGAACTAAAGTAGAGGTTACTCTAAATATTGATGTAGATACTTTAGTGTGCACTAGTCATAGCTGCCACGTCAGCGATCCGCGCACTTGGTAGGTACAGAGTGGATGTGTTAGTTGACAGTGCCACGTAAGCAATCCGTGTGCTCGTAGGTAAGGATTGAGTGTGTTAGTTAGTGTGTTAGTTGGGTGCGCCACGTCAGCGATCCGTGTGCTTGTTAGGGTTATCCGCCACGTCATCCATCCACTAGGAGTGGGATGGATGGTGGGGATTAGATCTTATCACCTTGTACTTGTTGGTGAGAGCTATATAAGGGAGAGGAGAACCATTGTTGGTATCTCTCATCTTCAGAGTTTACGTTTCTATCTTCGAGTGAACTTCTCTCTAAACCCTAGTGTTACACAAATAGTTTCAACATGTTTAATAGAAACAACAAAATAATTGTACTTATCTTCTGTCGGAAGCTTTTGATACTATCTTCATCTCACCTGACGATTGATGCGAAGATGCTGCATGTAGTTGTTTGTTCTGAAAGGAGTCCCCTCAAATGTCCAAGATGTAGAGGATTAATTAGCAGGTTCTTCGCGTCCGAAACATACAAAAAATCTACACCTAACCGCCACTACTTCAAAAGATCTAGCATCACGACTTGCTATACACAGATCATACTGTAATAGATGTTTTGGCTGAAATGGAGTTTTGTGGGGTCGTTTAGAAGCAAGTTCAATAGAATCCATCAAAGTTCAGGCAAGAAAAGTCAAAAACTATACTAAGCAAAGTACAAACCCGTCTTGTTCTTGCAAAATGATCGGACTGCACCCTCTGTATGTCCCGTTTCTCACTCTCGCTCAATTATGTTTGCACTATCTTGTTCCTTTGTAATTATCGGATTCCACTCTCTATGTGCCCCAACACTATACTAAAGAAAGTAACAAAGGTTCAAACTCTTGCTCTGCCTATTACTTTCGCCCCCGTCTTGTTCTTGCGGAATGACGGACTCCACTTACTACGTGCCCGGTTGCTCTTTCTATGTCGATTACTTTGGCAATTTTGTGCTGTTGAACCTGCACAAACATATGGATTGGAAATAAATTTCCCGCAGAGTGGGTGAAAAGAAGTGGAGAGGGAGCTCGATGCTCGTTGACAGTGCACATGAGGAATGGATACTCCGAAACACGGCCTCAATCTTTGAGAACTTTTAATCACTATAAACAGACTTCTAATGATTTACGATGCGGTGTGCGAAAGTAACTGTGCGTGAAGACAACTAATGTCTGAAACGGACAAGCGCAGTTTTAGTTACTTAATACCGCCTTCAAAATGAACTAAGACATTAATGTTGTAAATACAAAACTTTATGAAAACAAAATATGGAACTTTGACTCTCAAGTTCCGTGTTTAGAGAGGCCTACATATCATGCACCATCAACGAGCTTTAAATATGCATCTTGTAATGGAATGTCCAACTAGTGAAGCAAACATCATACACAAATTAATTCTTCCAAGGAACATGGTTGCATTAACATGATGACACCAACACAATGTCAAATCATGTTTTGAGTTTGTTCAGACAATGCATAGATTAGTTGGTTACTCCAATTGAGATACACATTGTTGAATAATTTGCAAAAGATTTCAAATGATGTCAAATCACTATGAAATCCCAAAAACAAGATTGAAATGAGATGAAAATTGTAGAGCTTGCGACGCCAAACAAAACAGACGGAATCATCAATGTATGAAATATTCAAGTATATGAACACATTTGACTATTGTTTCTGGCTTGGCTGTCCGCGTTCAACCCTTACTCATGTCATAATTGACAAGATGATTGTAGCGACGAAATGATGATTTGAAATCCTCAAATCCATTTCAGGAAGAATTGAGATTACTTGCGACGGATGTCACACCATACGGTTGCAAAGTTACTTTGTAATTATGCTTCTTTGAACAGATGATTTTAGAAGTTACGCGATTGTCTTTTTCATTTCAAATATTTCTAACTGCGGCACGATAATGAACATCGTCCATAGTCACACTTATTATGGAATCATGAATAACAACAAATACACACACAAAGATTCTTGTTACAATGACATACAATGCTAGTGAAATGATTCCTACTTTAAGCATCTACGAGACAAACTTAACAACAAGTTCGGTATCAATCCAAACTATAGAGTACACCTTCACTATATTCGCCATATCATGCATCATGCAATCATTGAAATTGAAACAATCATCTCGAGAGTGATGAAACTTTGCTCAATGCTCAAGACGATCCGTCTATCATCTTGATTGCAAATTGATTTCAAGAAGATCCAAGGTTTTCTTGGTGTGCAAGAACAAAAGATAAGAAGTTCTTGGTCCTAATATCAAAAACTATTGAATTATCAAATTCACAATGATTGATTTGTCTTACATGCGAAAGAATACTTTTCAATCTTTACTTGAGTGCTACGTTATGATCGTAATTGTGAACTTAATGGAATGAAGGAAAGAGAAATACTTCAAATACTTCCTTGCTCCTGACTTCAAGATGACCTTCCTCCTATCTAGCGGATTATATACACCTTTATCAAATCAATCTCTCGTTTATGAATCTCTCAAGGTGCATGGTCAAAAAACTATTAATGGTAAACTTAGTACAAGTTTCACCACATCAGAGTCAAAGTATGCCGCCAAAACGTTGATGGCAAAGCTATAGAAGAATCAGTATCACTTTATTTGCTATCTATCAATGCTCGCATTAATCCTTGATCCTGCGGTTATAAAGGCCAATGATGACACTTTGGAAAATTCTTCAATTGCAGTGTGATATGAGGTCATACATGAACATCCTATTTCTTTCACGTTTAAGAATAGCACCCGAAGCACGTTTATTAGTGTTGTAATCTACCAGGTCAAGAGATGATGCTTCAAAATAGATCATGGACTTTTTACACTTAACCAAGACATGCTAGGAATTCTGCGACAATGGGAACTTCGGTGCCATCGGAGTATCAATTTTTTGGAATAGCGATGCTATTACCACCACAGAGTAACGGGAGAGCAGATCACTTCCATTTGTATGACAATTACACTGAGACTACATGAAACTACGATCATGGAATGGCTATTCAATGAAATTAATAAAATGAAAGCTGACCGAAAAAATTTTATTAACCAGTTAGACTAGCCGTGAACATACTGGTATAGATCCCGGATATGTACATGTCAAGCAGGAAATGGTGGTAAGTTACGAAGAGAGTCGAAGTCCACGAGCTTCGAGGGCCCGTACACTGCAGCCGTCTTGAAACGTCTCGGGAAAGTGCCGCGCGTAGGCATGGTCACATAGCCGGTTAGCTTACGGCTAGCCGGCTAGGGCCTCAAATTTAGCCGGCTAACCGAAATCAATGTTAATTTCGTCCGAATCAGACGAAATAATCGGCCGAAAACGCACACTCGGTGCGAGTTTTCGGTTCGTTTTCAGCCTCGGATAGCGGTGGCAATATTTATCTGTGACCCGGTTGGGCGGCTAGCCGTTAGCCGAGCCGTGAGCATCCCTGGCGGCGCGGATGCTAGCGCCACTTTTCCTGAAGAAAGAGGGAAGCAGGACGGTCGAAGGATGCGAAAACACGAGTGCTTTGTAAGTAGCAGAGCATTGTCTTTCTGTTGAAGGGGCAAGAAGCCAGAGGTAGGAGATGGTAGAACAGGATGCACTAATGAGGGTGATCGATTTGGAAGGAAAATCGGTGGAATGAAGGGGCAGGGCCTCTGAAGTGGTGGTCTTCATGATGGTAATTGTAACTGAATTCAGCGCTGCTACCCGTCTGCCGGAAGCGTGGAGATTTGTGGTCGTACTGTAGTCGGTGTTATTACGGTGGTGACTTGCGGTCGAATCGTTTTCAAGTCCTTTGAGCACAGATGACTGTTACGCGTGAAGAAGTGCTGAAGGAATGTAACGATTTAATTTTTTTGGTACGGATTTTGGTGGTAGGTCTCATGGTTGGCGTGTGTGCTTGTTGTGGAATGATTGGTTGTCATTCAGATTAGGGCAAGTGGTGAGAAATTAGTATTCGACGGACTCAAAGCGCCATCCCAGCCGCAGTTGGTGCCGTTCCGGCGATAGTTACGATCACAGGGAAGTAATGGAGGGTTAAGGGTGAAGCTTGAAGTTGAAAGATAGCCTCTTTAGTCCTGCAGGAGGTGTGAATTGGGCGCCAGGTGAGCAGTATAAGGGGGAGGAAAATGGGAGTCACAGAGAGCAGTGTAAAGCTGGACGAAGAGGATGCTAGCCTAGATACAAACGTAGTTGCGTTTAAGAAAGTAGTGAAGAGGGTTATTGAAGAGTTTTCCAGAAAAAAAGCAGAACAGTTTGGGTTCGGTTGCCAAATCCGTGGGCGGCATGTTGCATCCTGCTTCCCAGCAGTAGAGGGTTTCATGGCTGCCATGAAACCTGGGAAGCAGGATGCAACGGATACTTCACAGCAAGCACAGACAGATGCTTGTTTAATTTGTCTGGACTTGTCTGGATGTCGTCATGGATGGCGGTGATAGATCGATTGCAAAACTTACATGTGGTGACAATTTCCAGGTGAGTTCACAAACGAATTCCTCTATCATGCCAGTCCTAAGAATACCTGCTCTTTTTCTTGTCAGGTTTCTGCTCAATGTACGAGAAGTTCATACGTAAGCATTATAACCATGGAGAAAACTTGACCTTTCTTTTCTTTTCTTGAAGACTGCATTGGGTCAGGTTTCGACGCCAAGCGTGCCTGCAGTGCCCAAACTGCAGGCACGTCGGGACGGTCATTGGCTCTATTCCAACGTGACTGGCTCGGTTGAGGACCTCGTGATCAACGTTTAAGACCTGTACCAGGGCGTCCCCGACCTTCTCACTGCAGCACAGAACAACGCAAGTGCAAGGTAATTCTTGGTCCTTTCGCGGTCCCTCTATCGTATCCTTAGTGTTAAAAGGGACTTATTTGGGCTGGCTGTTGGTCTGATATTTCATATGTGCACCCAAGTTTAATAATCTTTTGGAGGATTTACAGCTGTTCGCGGAGAAAGTTCTGACGAATACTTCATTGATCATCTTCTATGAAGATGAGGCTTCTGAAATGTATGTATGATCGAAGTTTTCTTGCATTTGAGAAAAGTCTAAAATACGACTCCAGATTTCATAGCTGTATCAACTTTATGCCATGGTGGTTGAGTCCTTCATGTGCAAGTAACACATTGCATACTGGGACGAGTCATCATGGACACATGATATTTAGTCACATGACCTTTTGCATATGTATAATCTTCATATTTAAAACATCCGAAGGCCTCGAGTTCCTTTCCTTTTTCATCACTGAGCCTGCTTACCGGAGTATCGTGACTGACATTGAAGTCTTGAAATTCGTGGCAGAGGATACCGGCCTAGGAAAATGCTTGTGTAGAGGATACAGAAAAAATTGTTCTGGTCACAAGACTTGTTCCCGCATACGAGTTTTGTATTAGATCTTTCCCCTCCATCCACGACAACGTCCCAGAACATAGCCAGACACGGATGCAATGAAACCTTCTACAGGCGGGAAGCAGTATGAAACGGAAACTTCACAGCAAGCACAGACAGATGCTTGTTCAGTTTTTCTGGATGTCGTTGTGGACGGCGGTGAAAGATCGAAACTTGACTCACATGCGGGGACCGGTTTTATTTACCTTTAGAATGCCAGTGCTAACAATTGTGTGGTTTCCGCCCAATATATACCAAGGTGCAAAGTGAACAAAAGTTAAATTCCCCAATAATTATACAATCATTGAGGAATTTAACTTTTTTGAATTTCTTGATGATTGCTTTGGGTCAGATTTAGACGCCAAGAAGGCAATTCAGTGCCCAAACTGTCTTGCCCTCTCGATTTGCTTGCTGTGCCCAACCTGCAGGTACTTTGAGAACGGTTATTGGCTGTATGGCAACGGCATTGGTTCGGTTGGGGACCACGTTATCTGGGATGCTCCTTGGATAAACTTTGAAGACGCGTACATGCCGTGCCTTAGTTTCTCATTACAGCAGATAACAATGAAAGTGCGAGTGTATTCTGCGTCCCTTGGCGGTCCTTATATTCTATCGTGCGTGTAGTATAACGAAACAAACAACGTGAAAGTGTCTGGAAGTAGTGAGTAATATCTGTAATAGATCTACAAGATGCAAGGGGCGTCTTTAATGTGATTTGTATGGCATCATCAGATATTTACAAAATTTGAAATCAGTCGTCCTTGTATAGAAGCCGTCGCTTTGTATGCAATGCAAAACACATGAGCATACATATGTATATACATGTATATAATAAGAGTTGGAATTATCATATATGTGAGATGGAATGACTTTTGGAGAATTTGATTTCCGGGTATTTGTCAGGTGAATCCGATGTTATGTGCATAGACCTATATGTGAAGTAACCCTAGAATCAATCAAGAGGATTATAGCATGATTTTAAGTACCAAAGGACAAGGTAGATCTGCCTTCATTATTTTGAACTATAACCTTAAGCGGTTCTCGGTTACGATTACTAAGTCATAGAACACCTCCTCTCTGGGAAACACGCAATTTGCAAGTCGTCGCTTCCAAGTCGATAAAATGCGTGTCCTTGTGGAAGTTTATATTGCAGGTGCTCACAGTTTGTAGCAGAGGCCAGTTTATGATCTCGTGCCACGGGTTTCGTCTTCCGTCATCCTCATTCCGACCTCATTCAAGCCAAATCGCTGCAGTCTGGAGTAGTATTCAGATGCCATTTTCGACGCTACTCTGGCCTGATCGGTTATCTGATTCACGTCGTCAACCATCATTGCCTTATTCTTCCTTGCATAGTTTTGAAACTCTGATCCATACACAGATTGATGTTCCTCACTTTTCCTTCGCATTGCCTGGGCTGAAACACTCTTCAACTTGGCGTCGTCACAGCCATATTCTTGGAAGTAGTCAGAATCTTTTATAGGACGACATGCGGTTTCGACATTCAAGTCAGCGTGCGATGTTTTAGATCCTCTACAAGGATCTCCAGGTGTTGAGCTGTGCTGGAGAGATCGTGCATACTGGGCGAGAAGAACCGCCGGGCTGGTATTGTAAGGTTTCGTATACAATATCTAATGGTGCATCCTGTCATTAGTCATGACCATGAATGACGATTCCAGACGATGATCGTTGTCATGAGGACTTGTGAGTCCTACTGAGCATAATCAAAGGGAAGCAAAACGAAATTCAAAGTCAAGAAGGGTAGCTGGTATGAACTTCAAAGTCAATAATTGGTGCAAATGCCACTTAAGTTTCTGTTTACTATCATTTTATTTATTATATAACTCATGGAATAAAGTACTGAAGTTTAAGAAGCACGGCTGAGGCGGAAGTTGGTTCTTCAGAGTGATTGAATGTTCCTACATTTAGCCTTTACCACCTTCGTAGTGGATCTTGGACACACTGATTAGAATTGGACTCTTACAGGGCAAATGCACCTCAGATCTTTGCTCATGCCAAGAAAACTCAATGGCATTCTCGCTGTTCTTTACTTTCGTTTGAATCTACCCTCCGATACTTGGTTCGAGAAGTGTACATGTGATGACACGAATTCTAGCAGTTGTTGCATTGACGAGAGGAGAGGAGAGTGATATAGCAAAAAGTACGAGAGCACCCAATAGACGGATGAAGGCAAGGGGTCGATATGTGAGGGTTTGGTCCCAATATCATCACAGTAGGATACATGTACTGATGAACCGAAGAAAATCATAACTTTGCTGATGTCGAAACTATGTACTCAATGTAGAGAAAATCATGAAGTAACCTCATAACTATCGTAGGGATTGCACCAGCAGTTATAGAAAGAATCATCAAGTAGCTTCATAACTATCAGTAGAATTGCACCAGCAATTGTACTTTCCAGAACAATGATTTACCACTTATACTATCTTACACAAAAGATGCCATTGCCATGCAGTATGGTAGTATCCAGTGACCTCTTTCGCAATGTCAAATTCCATCATTCCGGAGAAAGCATAGTTCCCTCACAAATGTGTTGAAGGTGATCTACGTAGCAAAATAATGTGAAGTCTAGAGTTACAACGAGATGCCATGTATACACAACTATGATACTTGAGTACATTAGCTGATGTAGTTCTACTCCCGAGTGAGAGTGTGACTACTCCTGAACTGTGTCAAGTGGACCCCACATGAGCATACACACAACGAGGCCAACATAATCAAAAGTTGGAAGAGTGGATGGCCAAGAGCATGACGGGTAAAAAAGGCGAGGGTTCGTTGCAGTAGAGAGGTATGATTTGATGGTTCATTTTTATGACAATGTATGTTTAGACTGAATCCTCGCTAGTCTTCGGCTCTGGCACGTCTCCTTTCTCCAAAGATCTACTTCTCTTCTCCAAAGACGTTTGCTTCTTCTCCGAAGGCCGAAGACCTTGACTTGAAGTTGCCGTTCTCTCCCCCAAAGATCTCGCTTCTTACCCCAGAGGTTGCTCACTTTGTACTCCCTAAGATCCACGCTCAGGGGTCCGAAGATCCTCTTCTTGAACTGCATCCTCATCTGCCGAAGATGCGGTTCCCTCAGACATGGCTACACTACTCTCCAAACTGTCTGACACTACCATCCGACGTTGTGACTTCTTCTTCGGTCTAGCACGTGTCTTCGGCATCCTCAAACGCGTTGCAGCAGACCTCGCCATTTGTGCTTCTGGTCTTCGTGCTGCAACACTAGCTTTGGCTATCTAATGCCTCTTCGCCGGTCATCGTTCAGACCCTTCTTCCGCCGTGACCATCTCCATGTGAACCGGTACTCATGCTGCTGCTCGGGTGGTTTCTTTGGCTTGAGCTTTCTCCTCTTCGGACTCTTCGTTTTTGTCCAACTCCAAGATCTCTCTTTCCTTAGGAAATCTTTTCTCCTCGCTCTTCGTCAGCAAGCCCATCCCGTGATAGAAATTCATCAAGAAAGACGTCATGTGATTCACCGAGGCTCCGCTCTACCTGTTGCCAAAATTAATCCAAACCAGGTTCCATAAGATCTTCGCCCAGTGAATTGTCTTCCATCGCACTGCGCTCTCTATAAACCCAACCTGCCACACCGTATATGTTGTCCGTTGCGTCCGCAAGATGTGCATCAATGTTGTTGCCACCGCACGTCTCTGCGTGTCGCAATATTCAGCTGTCCACCAACCGTTTGTACTCATTCGAGGGTTCTTGAAGAGCTGCGCAAATGTCAACTCTTTGGCTCGCATTACTCTAACGCTCTCCTTCTTGAAGATGTAATTCCCTTCCTTGTCTACGCATGGTCCTAAGATGTGAGTTCAAAGTTTGACTGTCCACAACAATGGATTGCCGCGAAGGTTGGTACCCTCGTTCTTGTTCTTGTCCATAAACTCTTGACAGATCGTCGCCGACACACAATTTCAATCCCAGAGCAAGAAATCGAGTCGTGCTCCGATCAACTCATGGTGATACTTCCACAATTGCACATCGGGCACCTTCAGCGAAATCAATTTTGGTCCTGTTGCTTTCCTAGCGCGCGCCATGTCCCTTGGAGGGTAGTCTACAATGTCTCTGATTCCAATTCTCACTCTCCCACGATGCGCGAAGTGCCCGCTTAGTGTCCTTACCCTCAACGCCCTAACGGTTCTCGCATGCGCTTGACAGATCTTCGTCTTCGCCGAAGATCCGTCTACTACATCGCCAAAATATCTGCGCCGAAGTCTAAAGATCTTCGGCCGAAGGCTCAGAAAACGAATTCCATCCAGCTTTACTTCTGGGTACCCAATTTACTTTATATCTTCTTACTTCAATGATTATGAAACTATATGTACATGTTGTACATCCAATACACTTCGAATTTACTCCTTTATCCAAAATTCAAAAAACTGTACATCACATTGCGACTGTTGTATCATTGTGAAGACGCTCAAACAACTTGGTTTTCTTTGAACTGGTACCATTTTTTTCCACCAGAATCACCAGCATTATCTTTATCGGTGTTATACATCTTGAAGTATGACTTAAATTCGTCTTCTGACTGAACTTCAGAGAATTTTTGTGAAGGATCCGACACATAGTATGACAAGATACTCCCAGTACAACTCCAGCTCTAGCAGTATTTACCGTTGAAGTGTTGTTGAATTTTGCTGTACTATATGTTGGAGTTGTTAATGTAGATGCATCGGATTGCAACCAGTAGTTTTGAGAGTGCATAAAGGCTAGCAGAGGTTATTGATCTGCATGTAGAGAGAAGGGGAAATCAAAAACTAGTTGGTTTATTATAACCTCTTTCTATTACCAAATAGCTGTGGGAACATGTCACCATGAATACCATATGTGAGTTACCAAAGACTGTGTTAGAACATGATTCAATTGTGGTTTTTGTGGAAAAATTGAATAAGATGATTCATATCATGCTAACCACTGAAACATTATAAGCTCTACAACTAGTTTAATTATATCTAGATGAAATTTTTGCGAATCATGATTTAAACAAGGTGTTAATCACAAATAGAGGTAATCATTGGAAAACTTTATTTGAGTTTTTTCAAAACAAAACTAGCAATATCAAAAGTCTATCACTCTCAAACTAATGAACAAACAGAGAGCGCAAATAGTATCATAGAGTATATGCTAAGAGCATTCACTTTAGAAGAGCAAAAAGAGTGGTACATCCTTTTGACTCTTGTGAAATTTGCATATAACAATTTTATTAATGTATTCATAAAAGTGTTTCCATATTATCTCATGTATGATGTTCATCCTATAATTACTTCAAATTTTATGTGCTTTTTGAGTTTTTGACCAAAGTTGCAACAATTAACGAGTTTCTGGAGTATATTTACAGAGTAGTACATTAGTCTAAAGAGAAATTGATGATAGATGAAAATTGGCAAAAGCAACATGCATATCTTCATCGTAGAGAGTTGATTTTTGAGGTGGCAAATCATGTTTGATTATTTACAACAAATTTGTCCTTTATAGAAACGTCAAAATTGAACACTAGGTACATTGTTACATTTTTGGTTTTGAAACATGTTGATGAAGTATAATACAATTTGGAACTTCAGTCACATATGAAAATACATCGTGTATTTCATTTGTCACAAATGCAAAAATATATATAACGACCAAAACAATGCACCAATCAACCAGCACCATCTCTTCTTCCAACCTAGATTACAAATCATGAAGAGCTTGATCTAAAAAACATATTGGAGTTCATAAATATCCCAAAGTAAAGTATTTAATTTAGTGGAAAAGCTATACACTTAAGCTGCTCGGTGTGCTTCCAAATTACTGATATATTTCATAGTGTGAAACTATTGGAGCTTAATCCTATGACTTCGAAGGAGTATGTATAAAGAATTTCTTCCATCTATAAATAATGGGATCTCTCTTCATTATTCTACAATATTTGATTTTTGTGAATGAATCTTAATTGAACAATTTTATACATATAATCTGCACGATTATATCATGTCTTGTTTGATCTGTACAATAATTTTCAATAGCCATCATTACAATATAATTTAATTTTAACTTAAAAAAAGTTAGAACAGTTCCTTACTCTTTTAATCATAAAATACCATAATTTAAATTTAAATGTAAATTAATTTCATATATATATAGATAATGTTTTCTTCATCCAGCTTTTAGTATATATAACCTCCATGTAGTCTTCAAGGAAGCGTGACAAGATACAAATCCAAATGTCTCCTAACTCTGTGTACTTTTACTAAATGCATATGATTGCTCACGAGTGACACAAGCAAACTCCAATGCTTGAAAATTGCGTGATACGACAAAAACATTGTGCCATGTTTCTAGATGTTTGCGTGAGACGGTTCATACACTGAGAGCACAGCATTTGCATATGGAGCTGTAACGGAAGTTAGTATAGCACCTAATTCAAGTGCTCACACGCTTTTCGGTGCTGCTGTTGTTAAAAGGAAAGTGTACTCGACATTCCATTCCATCCATCTCATCAGTGTCCTAAGGTCGTAGGTGGAAGGTGCACCAGAGAAGGTTGAGGGGGAGACGTTAGTGATAAGAAAGCGAAGCGAGTAAAGTCAAGTGAGTTCAACTCAGCTCAATAACATTGCACGCCTACAGAAAGCTCTATTCAAGCCCATGTCCCGAAAGCATATGAATATTCGGGACGGCATCTTCACACGGTTGGGCGACAATTAAAGGGACAAGGAAGGTGGTTGCTATCTGTCTGGTATCTGGTGCATATTCACAGCCATGGCACTACGGCCGCAGCACATGCTGGGGTCGTTTCAATAAAGACACCAGGACCAGAAACCAGAAACCTTTCCATGCTTTCTCGGTGGTGAAGGTTCTTCTGTCTTCGGATTCTTCGGTCCAAGCCAGAATTGCGGAAAAGCGGAATCTCAAGGAAACAGAGCTCCGACGGCGGTGTCAATGTTTTCTGGTTGTGCTCTGTGCACCGATTAGTAGCTTGTAGAGTTCTGAATTTCACAAGACGAATCGGATCTGATGTTTGGGAAAGGATCGTGCATTCACTGTGAGGGCAGTATATTCTGCTGGTTTGAAATCCTCACTCACGCAGCTGGACTTCAGATTCAAGCGTTGAATTTTCTGGGTCTTGCAGTACTTCTGATGCTGCTACTGGATAAATGTCCAATAAATGACTACCATGTTTGTTTCTCGAAGGAGATTGTTGAAAATCCTCTCGATCAAAAGTCATGGCGAGAAAGGATCAGGCGGGGACCTGATGCCAATGTCTATGGATGGACGGTTCCGTTACTTCACGGGTAATGTAAATATTTGATCGGTGACTTCGATTTCTCGTCGTCGACAAAATTCCTTGACAGCTACAATGGAGATTTCTTACAAAAATATTCAAGGATGTAAAATTATGCGAAGTGTTCGACTCTCTTAGCGCTGATTATCATGTGGGTAATCTTCTTTCTCGGAGCTCCTTCCTACATCTACTTCCTGGCATGTTCCAGGTGCTTATCATCTGGCCCTTTCAAATCTACATCCAATGACCCGAATTTATTGGCATTTCAACTCGGGTACTCTGAAAGAAGATAGAACTGGCAAGCAGGATCCCAGCTGTATTAGCTCTTCTTCACGCCGCTTATCTTCTTGAGTCCCGGTCAGATTTTGAAATAAATCCTGTAAAAGTTTTGCTTCCTTCTTCATGTTCACGAAGACCTGCTTCTTCTTCTCTGGATGGGAGATAACAGAACTCTGAATGTGACTTGCTTTGCCAGCATATCGTAGAGTGTTCACACTCTCTTGAAAGTCCTGCAAAGCAACATGGATTGTCCATGTAAACTGAACCTTCCGATACATCCGATACTCTTTGTCGGCCTTGAAAAGCCAAATCTGCCGACAGCGACAAACCACGTCGGCCTCGACTGTGACTCTTTTCAGGGCAACTGTGCAATAGCACAGTCCGTACGTGGTCGAAGTCAGGAGTAGTCTGACGTTTCTCAGTAAAATTGAATTCATTATGAAAAATATCTCTAACATGCAATTATTTATATTTTTTTATATTCTCGTAATACTTTCATTATCAATCTCACTTCAATGATTATGTTTTGGAAATTCACTCTCAATGTATTTGGTTATTGACATTTGAAAAATAAAAGAATTTATATCAAACATAATTAATGTATTATTACTTCAAATATTTGAATCTTACAAAATCTAATCAATGTAAATTTACAATATCAATAAATATCTTTGAAAAGATTATTTCATTATTAAAAAATAATTTCTTTATAAATTAGTAATAAAGTATGAAATCCATTCATCAGACTTACTTTACAGGCTTAGTCGTCTTGGCAAGTAAAAGCGCAAGAGTACATGGAAACCTACGTGGGAATATCAATGTAAAGTTCAAGGATTGTACCCAAAAGCCGTGAAACTCTCTATATTCAATGCAAGGTGCAAAAGTTCAACACAGAGAGAAACGTAAGCTCACGCGACAACTGTCAAAAACAAAAGCTCTCGATGTACAACAGGGAGTACATGCATTGGAACTTAAGCCGCTCCCTGTGCTTCCAAATTAATGACATATTCCATGCTGTGAAGCTATTGGAGCCTAATCCTATGGCTTCAAAGGAAAGAATATAAATGACTTCTTCCGTCTACAATATAATGGATTCTCCCTTCATTACTCTACAATATTTGATTTTCGTGATTGGATAGTAATTACACAATGTTTATACATATAATTCAGATGAATATATCATGTCTAGTTTGATATGTACAATACTAATGGAACTGTGGAACAGGTCCCTCCACTTTTTATCATAAAATACCATAATTTATGTTTAAATGTAAATTAATTTCATATATATATTTATAATGTTTTCTTCATAGAGCTTTTAGTATATACAACCTCCATCTAGTCTTCAAGGAACTGTGACAAGATACAAATCCAAATTTCTCCTAACTCTGTGTACTTTTCCTAAATGCATATGATTGCTCACGAGTGACACAAGCAAACTCCATTGCTTGATAACACATAAAATATGTGAAGGTGATAAGTAATTGAGATTTGCTATTAACTCCAATAGGTCATGTGGGATATATAGCCTCGACGTGTTTTCCTCGCAATATCTTTTTTTGTTAAAAAATATACTCTAATGATTTGGAGGAAAAAGATGGCTCCATTTAGATCTATGTCTCTATTAACTATTATATACAACAGGGACCTAACCCACATACAAGCTCTTTGATAAAATAAGGTAGAAGGAGACTTTGTAACCAAGCCTCCAAATTCTTCAAAGAGTCGTATATATCCACAATTTAGAGTTTTCGAGAAACACATCCTCGAGAGGGATCGGGTGACAGTAACCAGCGAGTGTGACGATCCCAGACTCCTATCCGCAATAACAATCTTCGGCAGTTCATGTACTGGGATAAGTTTTCCAAGTACCTACCAACCTTGAGGCCCAAATTGCCTGAGCTATGAACGAAGCGAGTGAGCTGTTGTGATTCACTGTCTCTCCAGCTTGAATCTGCCATTGTGACCTGCATCGTGCTAGTCGAAAGCACTTACAGTCAAAACTTAGTTTTGACTAGAACGAAAAAGTTAGACGATTACGTTTGTTTAGAGCGATTCTGCACATAGACCTTCTGTCTCTTCTCAAATGGTGGAGGTCGCCTAAGCGGAAGACTATGGCAGATGCAAGCTGTGTTGTTACAATGGCAGATTCAAGCAGATCACTATCATCACCATGACAAGAGAACTAGGATTACAACTTCACTCTGAAGAAACATTCCTGTTTGCAAGTAGATTACCGAAACTGGCAAATTGAAATAAATTAAAATGGGAAAAGAAGCATAAGCAGAAACCTAAACACGTGAAATTCTCTTCATCGGAAAAAATGCTCTGATCAAATTAAGAATTAATATTTGCGCAACATTTACATTTAGAATTAGCATGTGCACCTGTCCCCCTCATCTAGATATGAACTCAAACTCTCAACTTAACCTCCAGGGCCACTCTCTGCTAGCAGGGGGCCCTGAGGAATAAGAAGGGTTAAGTGCTGATCTGTGTGTGAGGGGAAGGGGCCACAGCATAGCTAATCCTGTTCAAAGCAAACCACAAATTTCTGCGGTCGGACTCTAATGAGCAAGCCAACAGCTTGAATCCCACTGCTTCCATACTACACAGATATGCAACACAAACTCTCAACTTAACCTCCAGGGGCCACTCTCTGCTAGCAGGGGGCCCGAGGAATAAGAAGGGTTAAGTGCTGATCTGTGTGTGAGGGGAAGGGGGCCACAGCATAGCTAATCTTGTTCAAAGCAAACCACGAATTTCTGCGGTCAGACTCTAATGAGCAAGCCAATGGCTTGAATCCCACTGCTTCCATACTACACAGATATGCAACACAAACTCTCAACTTAACCTCCAGGGGCCACTCTCTGCTAGCAGGGGGCCCGAGGAATAAGAAGGGTTAAGTGCTGATCTGTGTGTGAGGCGAAGGGGGCTACAGCATAGCTAATCCTGTTCATAGCAAACCACAGAGTTCTGCAGTCCGACTCTAATGAGCTGGGAACTCTCTCTGGTCATCATTGGAACTCCTAGTAGGTAGCACAAATAAAATTCTATGTTTGTGCGTTTACTGCACAACACACCGTTCTAAACTCAGAGCATCTGACTCATTCATCAGTGCTCGAAGTCATACAGTTGAGACTTACCTCAGCCACCGATACATCAGATGTAAACTTGAGTTGGATACGTGATCCTCCTCAATTTCATCTTTGTATTCTCAGTCTAAGGCAGCTCCTCGCTGCTCCTCATCCTCCAGCAAATCCCACTCCTCCACATAACTTCTATCGATATCCATTGTATCGAATTCGTTTTCTATAGGCTTGAGATCAGTTTCGGATTTTAGAAAGAACAGGTCCTTGACCGTTGAGTTCTCTTCCGCTTCAGGAAATTCTGCGAGGATGTCCCAATTCCAACCTCGCGGTAATAAACCTGGTATTTTTTCGATCGGACGCGGTAGTATACAGGCCTCCGGAAAGTCCAATAGTGATTCCAGTATATGCCCGTTCTCCAGAACGGCATCGCGCGAATACAAAATGTCAGCCATAAGTTTTCCCTCGGCAGCAATGTCGCTCGTTCGAGATGGATTATTCTTAATAACCCACAAAATATGCCCGAGATCTTCATCATCTCCAGGAGGGAAAATAAAGCCATTATGACCGTCAGAGATCTGTAAAACACACACGATAGAAATGAATGACCTCAAAGAGCTATGGTCCAGCCTTGGTAGTTTCCAATAGTGGCCAACTAAACGAACAATCTCAATGGGCGGATTACTTACATGTTTGTTCATCGGCGAGATGTCAGGTACAATCACAGGACGTTCGAATGTCAAGGACCGTACGAGGATAGGTGGAAATCCATGCTCCTCCGTTCCAGAAGTAAAAAGTACGGCGTCGGAAGCCCAGAGCAGGCCGTTGATGTCCTCGTCGACACCCACATGCTGGACGACTCCACTTGGCAACCCAATGTGTTGGGCCATGACCTGCAAATATCAAATATATTTAGTCACGCGTATATGAAATAAAAGATCACTCGTCAGACGTATGCTGCTGCTAAAAGTTGTCATTTCAGTTATTTGGCTAGAAAAACATACCTGTAACGCGTATCTGTAGGGACTACTTGAATTGCCATATCCCAGTACAAACACCCTTACTGGTCCAAATGTGTCCGCTGACACTAGCCTGGCGGCTGCTTTCAAGACCAGAGCATGCTCCTTCCAGACTCCATCATAGTCGCACGCGTTGGCGATCACGACCAATGCAAAGTCTTCTGATAACAACTCTAGTTTAGACCGCATATCTTCCCTTCGGTGAGTCTTCATGTATTCATCTGACTCCCAACTAGTAAATACGCCCGGTGACACCCTCGCTCTTTCAGTGCGTCTGAGGTGGTTGGACCCCATTAGCATTGTCGCCAGGCAGCATGCTGCCATGAGTGTGATGAGTACCAGATGTGTTGTGCGATCTGGACTAATTGACTTTGAAGGAAGGCTGGTCCCTCTCATGGTGTTCGAACGATCACTCCGAGTCCCAACCCCTCGTACCACCTTCAGTGTGGAGTTGTGCATTGGGCAGGCCGACTCAAGTAATATGTAACGTTCCTCCAGTGATTGCTTCTTAGCCAAATAGCGAAGCAAACCTCGACAGCAAAATTCCTTCCTACGGATCATAACTAGCGAACTTAGGTACTCATCTCCGATTATGTTACGCATACAACAAGTCGCTCCAAGTTTCCGGAAATAAGAGGATTTCGGTCTTGTGAAAATTCACAACACTGAAAATCCTCTTAAATTCCACATTCGCAAGCAGACTGCGGTCGCATGAAAGAAACTGAACAAACGAAAACACAAACTGGAATCGGCAGCATATAAATTGCAAATGACAGAGCCCCTCACCGGAATCAATGCTCGTGCTCAAGCATCATCAACGCACGACCAGCATAAACCCCTCCTCTACTGCCAGTTGAAAGTTATTCGGTTCCAGTAGAAGTGGCGTTAAAGAGTCGTTCGAGAATGTCAGACTTCGAGACGCCCCAGGATGTTGTGGGGCGCGAGGAGCCTGTGACGACGGTCGACTTGAGGGCCGGAGGTGGCTCCGCTGGTGGCTCGTATTCAATACCGATGTACAGAATTGAGCCCACTGACTACCTCCTGAGACGTCGCCGGGTACTTCCCGAAGCGGCTGCCACACACAATTGCGATTAGAGCCCGGAAGAGATGACGAAAATCGAAGAAAGATTCACGCGCTCAAGACTCGATCATTCAAAATCGATGCATTCACAAAGGTGAGATCAAGGTTTAGAGAAGTACATGAGCGAGCTGGAAAGAAACTGTGCTATTTCTTAACCCGAGTTCGATAATTCCTTCCGAAGGCTGTCGTACAGGAGTTGAATTCGCTTCATCTCTTGGACAAAGGATTCCAGCAAAGAGTCAAGCTTTTATTGCAATCCGTTTCCATAGAACAAAAATCCGTTAACGCATTTTTGTTCTGTCGAAACGGATGTTTTCAAAAACATCAGTTGGAATTGCTTGAAGTGTTTTTTAGGCATCAATTTCTCGAAACGGATTTTGAAAAAAGTCCGTTTCGAGAACGTCCAGCAACGTCCACGTTGCTGGACTTCAGATTCAAGCGTTGAATTTTGTGGGTCTTGCAGTACTTCTGATGCTGCTACTGGATAAATGTCCAGTGAATGACTCCGATGTTCACTGGTTTGTTTCTCGAAGGAGAATGTTGAAAATCCTTTCGATGAAAAGTCATGGAGAGAGATGATCAGGCGGGATGAAAAGTCATGGCGAGAAATGATCAGGTGGGACGTGATGCCAATGTCTATGGATGGACGGTTCCATTACTTCACGGGTCATGTAAAAAGTTTATTCGTGACTTCGATTTCTCGTCGTCGACAAAATTCGCTGACAGCTACAATGGAGATTTTTTACAAAACTTTCAAGGATGTAAAATTGTGCAGAGAATTCGGACTCTCCTAGCGCTGATTATCATGTGGGTAATTTTCTCTCTCGGACCTCCTTCCTACATCTAATCCTGGCACTGTTCAGCTGATTATCATCTGGCCGTTTCATATCTACATCCAATGACCCTAATTTCTTGGCATTTCAACTCGTGGTACTTTGAAAGAAGATAGAACTGGCAAGCAGGATCCCAGCTGTATCAACTCTTCTTTACTCCGCTTATCTTCTTCAGTCTCGGTCAGATTTTGAATTAAATCCTGTAAATTTTTGCTTCCTTCTTCATGTTCACGAAGAGCTGCTTCTTCTTCTCTGGATGGGAGATTATAGAACTCTGGATGTGATTTGCTTTGGCAGCATATCGTAGAGTGTTCACACTCTCTTGAAAGTCCTGCAATGCAACATGGGTTGTCTAGGTAAACTGTTTATACCAATGCATCCGGTTTTCTCTGCTACAATGACTACTAAGGTATATGTTTAGTGGTCGTTATCACCAGAGGCATGGTGAGCATCCTCAGATGCTACGTCAGGTGGTGGAAAACTCTCAGAATGTCAGCATCAAAACTCCCAAAATAAGTGGTAGTACATGTCTTAATGGTTACCTGTTCTGCGGGAGAAAGATAGGCTATCAGAAAAGTCTTGTCGGTTCCTCCCAGAGAGTCTCTCAGGAGGTAAGTAAGAGCAGAGCTACGGTATGACACGAACTTGGAATTGTTGGATAGATTCAGGATCACCTGCTCTAGACATCCATCATATTACATGTCAAGCTGACACTATTTCCGAACAGGAGGCTGGTCCCTTCACTGATGTAGCCGAAAGGAGGTGACTTTATTCTAAAGATGAGATTTCCTTGCTCTTTCAGATCATCAAAGACACGTGAACGCCTAGTGATCAATCAACAGGTGTGAAGTTGCCATCAGATTATTGTGAGATTATTGTGAGAACGAACACCCTATGAGCGTCAGGTGGACAAATCAGTCAATGAGGGAAAAAATACAACGTTTTCTTTGAACTCATATCGTTTAGGTGAGCTACAGATCTGTTGATATAGCGGGATTCCTCTAGCCTCTCCAACGATATTCTCTTGGCAAGCTTCGGTTTTTCAGTTCCTGGTGTCACGCATGCATAATATTCGATTAAAGATGCACAAAATTTGCGTAATTCATGAAGCGATAGCACTTCTTTCATGAACGAGGCGCGAAACATCGCACCTCGTTCCAGAAAGAAGTGCTATCAAGTTTTCGGCGAGCTGTCGTGTGCTACAGGGACACTTCAAAAGTATGGTATAGAATGGTACAAAGTTGGGCATCTTATTGGATCACGATGGTAGCTGCGAGGTCTACGAGGTTAGCGAAGCTCACATGTGGGCTCCTCCCTCGCTGTTCCTGCGCAGCTCAACGTGAACAGAATTTCAGTCGGTTCTGAAAAGAAGGCGAGGCAATGAAGCAAAATGAGGTACTCTGAAAACTTCCAGGCTAATGAAACTGAAACCTTGTACCTGGAAACTTGCACAACTACAAACTTGTTGCTTATTTCAACAAGTTTTGTCAAAAACTCTGAGTTTCGGTCTGAAAATCGAAACTGGCATATTTTAAGATGCGTATAATCTACAGTTACGTTAAAATTTGAAATGAGTGATTCCCTATATTCGTTGGTGCAGTTTCTCTGTGAAACTGGGGTCATGAACCATGCCTTAACAATCCTCATAGTAAACAAAGTGTGGCCACGATCCGAACACTTGTTGGTTGGGGTAGCTCCTAAAGTCCTGCGAGCGGCTCCCTCCAACCTGATTTGCTCCATGTCTTCCCAAGTATACCCATCCTTCCACGACAATCCTTTGACATAAGGACCGGAGACAGGGTGCTCTCGTAGTTTCAGATACTCCTTTGTAGATGGGTTGTCAAAGCAGACGCTTGGTGCACGCTTATCCTTCCAGCTCTTGAGTGTTCCGGCACCGAAGCTGAGATAACTGGCAGTGTCGTCCGAGGATTCCAACCAATTTCGATCACTTTTTACTGACCCACACCTTGACGCTCCACTATCTAGGCAACTCTGCCATTCCGCCCTTACAGCTTGAGGGTCCACTTTAAAGGGAACAAGCAGGTCGCGTATTCTCTCCTGATAAATCTCCAGATAGCTAACCTGCAAAAATTAAACACAGCCATGAGTTCCCTTGCGTATGTCGTGAACTCTAATATTTAAGTTAACAAACACGAAATAAGGCAGAATGAACAAGACAATCTTCTCCACTTGATGTTGAAAACGAGGATTGCGAAATTTTATGGAACCCTCTGTATGCTGTACGTGAACTAAGTATTCGTTGTTGAACTAGGTCGAAATTTGATGCATCAAGTTCTCTGCGAATCTCGGCATCTGACTTGCGTCATAGATGAAATTGGGTCAAATCAAACTTTGACGCCTCTTTACTTATCTCTTCTCGTAGCAGAGTTTAGCACTGATGGTTCTGTCGAGCATCATGGCAAGCAGTAACACCAACATATTCTTGTGCCATTATCTTTGAAGTGTGTATTATCCTATCCGCAGATGTTTAGTTGAATATCCTAGATGATAAGAACTTGACTGTTCTACAACCCAAGTAGAAGGAATCGGCCTGAAAACATGCATGCAAAGAATGTGTTTAGAACTCACCATACCATGGCCTTCCACAGTATCGTCGCCCATCATGGTGTAAGTCTTAGCACTACACTCCTGACCGCAGGCCATAATCTACAGAAGAAAGTAACGGTGGTAATCAGACTCCAATTTCTAAGCCATGATTTGAAAATGCACTAGTACTTTGACCAGAACGTTCATGAGTCTATGCTCGGACCCGTCACCTTTTCATCTACAGTATACACGTTTTCATCTATACAGATAGTCGGCATCCAATCAAGATGTGACGCTAAGGAACCCTGAGCTGTGAAACAGAGTGAAGGACACATCTACACTGGTTGTTTAGAACAGACTTTCTGGACTTACGGCTCTCGTAATCCGTTCCTGAACACTAATACTGTTGAAAGAGCAACCGTCATCAATTTTAAGAGATAAACATCATTACTACTTTAGCATGCCTTTTTTTGTGCAGAATTGAAATCACATAGTGGCAATAACTCTTAAACGGTCTGGTATCTACAATCACACCTGATCTCTATTAGGTTGTTACTGATGAACTCTGATAGTGTTGGAGGAAGTACCAAGGTCACTTGCCACTTTAGGATACCGAGCCACTTTAGGTTAACTAGCCGCGCCGTACGCACACTGCCTCTTGGCATCCTCTGTGTGTGCGCATGTATGTAATCAAGCATTTTTCAATAACAAAGAAAACAGTGTGATGGATTAATTCATTCCTTCATGGTATCAAAGCGTAGGTCCAAGGTTATCAAAGTGTTGTAAGCATTGCTCCTATGTGTTTTGTTTTTCAGTACTTACGTTTATTCACTAGGAGAACACTACTCTCTCTTTTCTTTATACTTACGCGCTTATATTTTAGTGAAACACTACTCCTATTCAAGTCAGTTTTCCTACAATCATAGTCTTCATGTCTAGCTTCAATATTGTTCATGAGTCGAATAAGTTGGGAGGAAACGTCAACTACCAAACTTGGAAGTTCAAGATGAGAATGATATTGATGAGAGCGAATTCATGGTGATTCACTAACCCTAAGATGGACGATGAGATAAGATCCGATGATGGAGATTATATCTCACAAGGAAGAATCAGAGCTCTCGCTACGATAGAATTGTCTCTTCGAGACGAGATTTTTCCTATTATTGCCGACTGTTCATATCCTAGAGATGCATGGGTTAGATTGCAAAACTACTTTCAAAGTAGAAACAATGCATCTAGGCTCATGTTGAAGGACAAATTAAATTCCATCCTTCTTCTAGAAGGTAGTTCGGTTTCGGAGTACCTGCGTCAAATTCAGGAAGTACGTGTCGAGTTAACAGGCATTGGTCACGTAGCGAGTTAACAGGCATTGGTCACATAGCGTCTTAAGAAGAAATCGTCAACCATATGCTAAATTCTCTATCACCTAGTTTTGATGCCATCTATCAAAGCTTTTGCAACAGCAAAGACTTGCCCACATTCGATCAAGTTGCAGCTAGACTCCTGCAAGAAGAGAGTCGTAACAATATGTGTGCAAAGGTGACAGCTTCCGCCAAAGAAGAAGCATTGGCGCTCCGTTTCACAAGCCCAGCAAAGCTTTTTCAAGTGTTGGTAGCAGAGCATTCTGTAAATCGTCGAAGTTAGCTACAAAACCAGCTGGTCCGTCGTCTGCATTGGTTTCCACTCCGTCTTGCAAAATTCTGCTCCTCCTTTTGTGTCTGGCACACCTCCTCCTCCTCGACCCGCTTGCTGCGCACCTCGCTCGATGCGATGCAGGCAACCGCTCTCATGCTTGCTTGCTTCTACGTCTAGCTGGCCGCGTTGCGCTACCTATGCTGCTAGTCCTGACTCCTCAAAAACTTCTCGCATCGTCTTCTCATCAAAAAAATACTCGTAGCTCCAATTTTCCGATTCATTCTCGCCTTCCACTCATGATCATGCCCTCGTAGTCAGGAATACCCGAATCTGATCTAGTTTTTCGGGTAGGCTTTGGGTTCAAGGTCAAACAGGATCCAATCGGAGCCCTAATCACTCGAACCAACAGCAAATCTTTATTATATGTAGTTTCATCCAAAAATTATCCTAAAAGAAATGCATACAAAAACAATAACTATTTCATGAAATCCTTAATTTGCAATAAAATTGTGCCATTTTCAATTTAAACATCAGAATTTATCCGCCATTTTGCATGTAAATGAAAATTAATTCTAGATTGTTATATCAATTTATTGTTTCAAATGTAAATTTTTATTCTGATTTTTTGAAATTAAAAGTTTCAATGCTTTAAAAATCTCAATTTTTTTCATTTTTAAACTTTGATATCTTATAGAAAATTTCTAGCAATTCAAATTTTTCAAGTGTAGTTTATACTTTATATCTTTTAATTTTATCACAATAAAGCTTAATATATCATTGAAAGATTGCTAAAATTTCACAAAACCTCATAAATTTTGTCAAAAAATTCTTATTGATGCAAAAATTTCTAGCAAAAAGAATGAAAAATATCAACTTTAATCTCTTATCAAATCAAAGCAACTTTAATTTTATACAATGCTTTAATTTTAACCGAAACATATCATTTGATTATAGTTTAAACAATATAAATCAAATATAATAACTCTTTAGTACATAAATCTAATTTGATCAATTATAGATAAAATTAAAAAATTTTACCAAATTATTATTTGAAAGTAATGATCATTCTACAATATTCCTAAATTTGTTTCTTTAAACAAGACTAATAATACATCCAAATCCAAGTGTTGAAAGGTGCAACACTTGGCATGCTCATATTTATTATGTAAATTACCAAGTAAAATATATGTTATCAAGTCCTAATATATACTTTGTGAAACAATTGGAAAAATAATGAAAACTAGAATATCTATCATCCTCTGGACAAAACTATCACCAAAGTGATATTTTACATGTAAATGATACAAACCCAAAAATCATCTAGAATAAAACACCAAATATTGATGACAAAAAGATTAAGTGCTAGCATCTCCAGGTTTTCTTTTTGATCTCTATAAACCAACTCCACGACACCTTTCCTATGATCCGATAGTAATCTAATTCTAGATCACTAGTGGCAAACAAGTACACAAGATTGCATAGTAAGCACATCTTTGATACTTTAGCTTAGAAAATATAAAGCTAGAATGTTCACTTTAATATGTTTACAAGAATATTTATTAGAACATATCAAACTAGAGGATAGGAGGTATGATATTCTTTGGCATATTCTATAGCTCATTTTAGTCAGAGTGTATGTATGATTTTAAATGGATATAGAATGTTGCACATCATATATCTAGATAATCTGGACATATAATGTGTAGCATTATCTAGTTTGAGCACATTCTACCCATTTCATCCATGCCTGACTTCATCTTCCATGACTTTTTGATTGGTTGATTGACATCCTTTTCGGTCTTCGTTAAAACTCAAATTTTAAACTCTGGCAAGCTCAAAGAGACTTTCTGCTGATCAGGATTGTAGTCAGAACAGTGGGAAATCTAACAAGAACACTTTCAACGAATTTTTAGTTGGTCGAGATAGGCTACGAGTCCACCACCGTGAAAAATCTCTATTTATACTATTATAATCGAAAGCTAGTTTGAAAACGAATGCCCATCATGCTATCACTGAACCTTTGAACCAAATAGTCGTCTAAGTTTGATTTATTTCTTCAACTAGAAACGTGTTCGTATTCCTATCATAATTTGACTCAACTCTCAAGTAATGTGTGCAATGTTTATAATAAGGTACATGTCGACAACGTCTGAGATTGCTTACAATATAAACGCCTAAGGGTCCCCCAGATATGGCATGACCGACTGTTAACATGCACTCCATTGGAGCAAAGGAACGTGTTCCTTGATTTAGGAGGAAGAGTATCTTGTGATTTATTTTCGCAAGGTTGAGCTTGAATTTTTAGGAATTCGAATCATACACAAAAAACAACAAGAACACCGTAGTTTATAGTTGCTGATGAAGTTTCCCAATGATAATACTAATAAAGAACTCTCTATGTTCAAAGACTGACAACCTTCCTTCAAAGCACCTACGAAGATGAACGATGACGTGTGCATGTATTAGGCATCATTACACTACTTGTATTAGTTACACATTCATTACGTTTTCATCATGTATCAATCTACTCCGACATTGTTCCGATACCAATACGAGTTAACGAACTCTTCGTTCAGTTGTCAGAGCATATGGTGTTGTGCACAAAACCAAATTGCAGAAGGATGATTATCATGCCAAGTCAAAATCCTTCTTATTTGAAAGAACTATACATCTTCTAGTAAGCAAGAGGAAACGAACATTTTCAATGGTCCATCCGTAGTCGATCACCGTAGACCGAACCGATCGCGGTCACATCGCGAGCAGTGGAATCGAAGGCGGAAGTCAAGAATGTGAGTGTCAGATATGGAGGAATACTTCACCAGCTGTGCCGGATGTGGATGACGAGTTCAGGAATCTCTGGCTGCTTCTCTAGATTTGATCGCTTGATGCTTTTACCCGATTCTAAAGCTATGAAAACGTTTATCTGGTGCAATTTGTGCTCCTGCCAGTGCCTACAGGAACGTGGCTTCTAGCAATGGTGACCGTTTTCTGATGTTTCTGCGTACTCTAAATGATTCTGATGACTTGAACCTTTGCAATGGCAGTCTACGGAAGAGACCACTCGTACAGACTGCATGTGTTTGGCGACTCGCAGAAGTATTCTAGCTACAAGTGGTATGCTTCTATTCGATGATTCTAGTATCTTGACTTTAACAAGATCTCTGGCGTGTCAATTTCGTTTCAGACATGTGGCCAGAAGAAGTTGATTCTTCGTACAACCGGGTTCCTTTTCGCTGGTGGGAGTGTGGATTCCCATGGCTGCTTTCTTTGGCATAAAATAGGCGTAATGTTGGTAACATTCTCTTGAGTTCAGAACTTTGTTAATTTCTGTTCACCACAATTGTATGATGTGGAATGCTTGTCAGAGCATCATACGTCTGAATCCCTATCATTGACCTTTCTTGTTTAGGTTAGATTCTCTGAACTCAAATATGAAGATGTTTGATTATGTTTCTTCCATCTTCTCTTCACCCGTGCCTATAAATTCCTTCAATAACCCACCAAATGCTAAAACTGCAGTATAGTAGCAAAAAGGTCAAACCCACAAGTACAGAGGCAACACACAGAGTACAAAGTGTCACGTTTAACAGACTATTGAAGAGTTTAAATTCTCAGGCGACTGTCACTCCCAGAAATACTGCAAGTGCTCAACTTGGAGGGCACTCGGAGGATGCACAGTTCAGCGTAGTTCACCCCAACACACACCTGAAACTATAGAAACACAACTCAGAGGTCGGTTAGGACCTCTATTCAAGGTTCAGGGGGAAAGTTTCTCAGGAGTACACTTAGAGGCTCTACAGGTAATGACTCCCAACTCCGGCTTTTACAACCCTCCCACTAGTTTCTGCTAGCACAAGGCACCCGGGTTGGACTTCCTACTTCGGATGCGGTACCTTCGTCAAACCGAAGTCACTCACACGCGGTGAACAACACACTCAACTCACAAAACGCGCAGAGAATACAGGAACCGAACTGAGAATCTCAACTGAGAAAAGATCTAGTGTCACACCATAACAGTCTATTGACGAGTTTTAATTCTCAGGTACTAGTCATTCCCAGAAATACTGCAGAGGCTAGCCCCGAGGGCGTCTTCTACAGCGTACCTGAATTTACAACCAAGGCTTACTCGAAGTAACAAAACTTCACTTTGGCATTCAGGGGAAACATCCGGAAGGTATACAAACAGGAACCATCACCCGAAGGCCTCGTCGCTTCCGCCGAAGACGTCCGTGACTTCGGCGCAGGGAGGTCCGCTGACCTCTCTGCAGTTCGTGCACTCACATCCTCCCCCGAGGATGGCGAGTTTCTTCTCTCTGCAGCACGCGCCATCTCTACGCTGCTTGCTGGCAAGACGAGCCTGCGTGCCTTCTGCTTGGGCCAACTGCAGAGCTCTGTCAGTGGCCGCTTCCGAATGTGAGCAGCAGCATCGCGTTGCTGGCTCTGCTCCGCTTCTCCTTCTCACCTTCGCTTCTGCGGCACTCGTGCTACGAGCGGTTCTCCCTCTGCCCTCGGTTGAGCTGGTGGCGTGCAGGCGGGTGTCTCGTCTTCGTCGGTATCAACTTTGACGTCCTTCACATATCAGCCCGGGTTGCTGCGTGACAGCAATGGGAATTGCACTCGCTCTGTTGCGGTCAGACATCCCATCGACCGATAGAAATTGATCAAGAAGGGGGAGAGGTGATTGATCGACCCTCCCTTCTCCTCGAATGCGTGTTGTCTTGTCGCCTTTCACAAAATGTGAGCCCAATGAATCGGAGCTCCGGACAACGTCAGCTCCACGAACGCCACCTGCCAAGAAGTCATGTAGGTGGTCCGATGCGGCTACAGAAGTTGGATGAGTGCTACCATTCCTCCGGAATCTATCCTTGTAGTCACGGGTCTTGTACCCGTTCTTGCCCAACTTGCTGTGCTTGAACAGCGCCGGGAAGGTAGCTTCTTCTTCCTTCGAGACATTGATACTCTCGCACTCCAACAGAAGATGGCCTTCTTCTCCCGCGCATCTTCCCAGCACCTGCTCCCAGTTGCTGACTGTCCATCGCTCCGGGTGCGGTTGAAATCCGCGTGTAGGTTGATCCTTGCCCTTCAGCCACTCGCGAACCATATCCTGACACACCGAATTCCATCCTCACAAGAGGAAATCGAGTTTCATTGCAGTCAGCTCGTGCTGGAATGCGCGCAATCCAATCTGCGGTAGCTTCAGCGGAATCATCCGCAGCTGTGTAACC